GTATGAGAAAAATGGACTGTAGGAACGAACTGTGTCAACAGGGAGGCCAGCTAGGAGGCTACTGCCTTATCTGGTAGGAGAGAAAAGTGACTTGAAGCAGAGAGAGCAGAGGAGAAGTTGACTGTTGGAATTGGGACATACTTTAAAAATGGAGCTAGCGTCTTGACTGATTGAAAGCAGCAGTGTCAGGGATGGCACCAAAAAATCTTGGCCTGAGCTGTGGGTGCAGCTGTTGGTGAAATAGGAAAGATAGGGGCTGGGGTTGTGGCTCAGCAGTGGAGCGCTTGCCTAGCACGTACAAGGTGCTGGGTTCTATCCTCAGGACCACATAAAAATAAATAAATAAAATAAAGGTATCGTGTCCACTACAACTAAAAAATGTTTTTAAAAAATGGGAGGGGCTGGGTTGTGGCTCAGCGGTAGAGCGCTCATCTAGCATGTGCGAGGCCCTGGGTTCAATCCTCAGCACCACATAAATAAAATAAAGATATTGTGTCCAACTACAACTAAAAAAATAAAAAAAATATTTAAAAAAATGGGAAAGATGGGGAGATAAATGGTTTTGGGGTCAGGAGAAATTAAAAATTTCTCTTTGGAAATACTGAGATGACAATGCCTGTTAGATACCAAGTAAAGATGTTGTGGATGAAGTTCTATCTACAGTGCAATTCTGGAGTTTGGGAAGGAAGCTGGGGGTGGGGTGCATTTGGGAGCCAATAGTATATAGATGTTATGGGTGTGTAGTGTGAGAGAGCTGGATAATAGAACATGGGCTTGGCTGTGTTGCCCAGAGAGGGATCATTGATGAAGAGTGGGTTCAAGGGCTAAGAGAATCCACCATTTAGAAGTTGGAAAGTGGAGGATGGTGTCCAAGAAGACATAGGAAATAAGAAGATCTAGGTTAGAGCTTTTACAGAGTAAGGAAGACTGCATTTATTTATTTATTTATTTATTATATAACAATAGTAGAATGTATTACACTCATTATTACCCATTTACAGCACAATTTTTCATAACTCTGTATATAAAGTATGTTCACGCCAAATTATGCCATTATGCATGCACTCTCTTTTTTGCATTACAATTCTTAATACACTTATATACCACAGTTTATTATTATCTCTGATTGTATATAAGATATATTGACATCAAATTCAAATCTTCATACATGTATTTTATATAAAGATGGGAGGAAGATTATTTCTAGATAAGGAAGACTGCTTCTTTAAGATAGGAAATAATACAGTATGTCTGTATTCTGACATACTGATCAGATAATAAGGAAGAAACTTAGAATGCTGGAAGGGGAATGCTTTTGGAGTAAAGTCATTAAGTAGTTGAGAAAGCATGAAAATGGCATGTTATTTTCCATTGTAAATTTACATTCCAGGGACCTTCTTCCTTTGTGTTTATACGGCATGGTCAGTGCTTATACAGCATCACTTAAGAGTATTTTGACCACTAGTAACAGAACACCTGACCCAAGCTTGCTTAAACAACTCATCAGATATGTGCAGTGAAAAATCCATGGGGGGGGGGGGGCTGTGGGAAGGGCTTTGTCTAGCAGTTTGGTGATGTCATCAAAGATTTAGCTTGTTATCATCACTCTGTGAGACTCTCCAACACGTCAGCTCCTTTAAAAGCTGGTCCCAAAATGACTGCTTAAGCTCTGGGGGCCCCATGTTTCTTCCCAGTGTTTATCAAAAAGGAGAGCATCCCTCCATTCCCAGAAAGGCTCTGAGTCTCACTCTTCTTAGATATAGTCAGGTCGTGTGCCTAACCCATTTCTGCAGCCACAGAGAGGAAATGTGCTGATTGACAAAGCCAGAATCACCCAGATCCCAGGTGGAAAAGCAAGGGCTATGGGAAAGAATTAATATCCACGCAAAGCTGAATAAATGAATGAAATTCACTTTGTAATGCACCTTCTTGGGAAATGCTTGGAAGAAAGGAATGTTAAATAGACATTTCCTAGAACAGGTAAGGAGGGCATTTGGGAATGAGTTTATCATTTGATGGATACAGATAATTGTTTATTTAATCGACAGTTATTTAGGTTACAGACTATCAACCATAACTAAGCTAAAATATGGATTTCATGAATATTGGTTTCTTATATAAAAGCCAAATTTAGTCAGTAATCTAAGATGGAAAACTATCTCTTCAAAGCATGAATGTTTACTAACAATTAGGTTTATGAGGCATGTTACAGGCCAGGTAATGAAGTATACTTTGGCTCACCAGAGGGCAGTAGTTTCTGGATACAAGTATGGTTTTCTGCTCCAGTGCAAATTAATTGCACTGTTGGTTTTAGCAGCAGCTAAAAGGAGAGGTGTGGCAGCCAGAGGAGTGGTTAATGTTTGCAGTGTGGAAGCTCTCTGAGCCTCGTGGTTCAGCCTCATTCAGGTTTATAATGAATTCCTTCCCTGTGAACAGCCAGATACTCACCTCATTAGTACCCAGACCTGCTTTCAGCCTGCCAAAACTTTCTACAGTGGGATAATTCAAATTCCTTAGATTATGAAGCCTGGGAATTGCATAATGCTATAATTATTCCTGGCAGGGAAGTGCCTGGTTAGTTAGACACCCACTCCTGTAGCTTGCTGTACTATTGTGAGGCACACCGAGTTCTTTGTCCTGACCCATGTGAGCAGGAACTCAAGATAATGGTGCATGAACCTTCCTCTGAGGACATGAACCCATACCTGGGTCCTCTCTCTTGTTCACTCTGCTTCAGAGTGCAACAAAATGCTGCACCATTCAGCATAGGCAGCGACTGATAATGGTAAGCAAACCAAACTAACTAAATAAAAGGACTGCTGGTCTGTTTCCCTTAATTTCTCCCCCCCAAAATGTCTTTTTCCCCTCCTTTCAGGCTACCATTTTTATGAGGACATCAGTTTCATTTTGCTTATTTTTCCTTTGGATATGATATTATATCCAACATTTCATACTTAGTTCTATTGACAGGCTTAGAGTTCTTTGGTACAAAGGAACAAAATGGATTTAAAATTTACTGACAGCAGAGCAAACTGAGTCTTCATATATTTTAATACTTTATTTGTGTCTTTGTGAGACCACTTCCAGGTGGGTGTGCCATCTGGATATTTTTCCTAAATGACAGCAGCCAGCTTTCCACAGCAGTAAGCGAAAGCAGTTTTGTGACTCAGGTAGGTGCCAAGAACATTATTTTCATCTCATTAGAATCTTATTTCTATAACATGAGTCTGCTGCATGTGAATGGAGCGCACTGTTTCACATTCTAGAGAGAAAGCCAGCTCGCTCAGCTGTGCATGTGCAGCCTCCCTAAAAGAGCAGTACACACGCAGACACTCCGCCTGCCAAGAGCGCTCAATCTAGAGAACTCATTCCACTTCTCTCCTTATTTTTTAGTTTCCTTTTACCTAATTTTCTTTTTTTTAATAGTTCTTTTTTTTTTTTTTTTTTTGTTCCAGGGATTAAACTCGGGGGCACTCAACCACTGAGCCACATCCCCAACCCTATTTTGTATTTTATTTTGAAACAGGGTCTCACTGAGTTGTTTAATGGCTTGCCATTGCTGAGGCTGGCTTTGAACTTGCCATCCTTCAAGCCAGTTCAGGATCACAGGTGTGTGCCACTGTGCCCGGCTTACCTACTTTTCTTTTAACACAATGATCCAAATAATTTTTTCTCCTCTTTAATCTTCATCCACAACTCCAACTAATGCCCATGGGAAGGAATCTCTCTAAAGTCTGCTCTAGGCCGCATCATTTTCTTCTTTCCTTTTAGAGCTATATCCTATCCATTGTCACAAGCTTGTGGTGCCTCTCAGGAGGCAGAGCGTGGGCATATGAACACAAGTGACACAGCCAGTGCAGAGTATAAGTTTTAAGAGGTGACTGAAATCTTGAAGATGGGGCTGCCTGTCTCTACCAGTTTTTTGTTTTTACCTCTGCCCTGATCCAAATAGACTTTTCCTTTGTTTTGAGTCCTGCAATAAAGAGACACTATGGGAACCTATAGCCAACCTACGGTTACCAAAATATAGTACAAGTGAAAAATAAAGGTATGTTGTTAAAAGCCACTGAGATTTTTTTAGGGTAATTTTCTTATTGTAGCAGAGCTGACTAATGCAAATACCACATTGTAAATAATAAATGGAAGATATAATAAACACAATAGTCTCAATTTCCAATCACCTTTATTTCTATAAAAGTACATTAAATAAATTAACTCAATATATACAAATAGAACCTATATAAATAGAAAATCCCCATATACAAAACCTTTTTTAAAAAAAGTTATAAATATATACAGTGTTAACCACAGAAGTCTTAAGTACCTTACATCATAAACTCTATGTAGTTTCTTTGTATAGTAGTCTTATAAAAATATAGTTAGCTGTCAAATGTCTAATTGACACCACGTAGTCAGTTAAAGTGCTAAACTGTAATGCATATTAGGAAAGTGTCCAACACAGACGTCTCCTGCATTTAACATATTAAAATAAGTTTGCCAATTGCTTTCAACTTCCCAAAGTACTCCAACCGAAGAAAACAAAAAAGAAAAAGAAAGGAACCTAAACACCATATTACAAAAGGACAGATGTATGTTAGAAAAGCCCACCCAATTTCCATCTTACTTTCCTATAGCATTTATAGTCAGCCTCTCAAAAAGCTCTCTACAAATTCACCGGGGATATTTTAAGGCATCTGTTCCTTTGTTTCTGTTTGGATGACCTAGTTTCTTCTTTAGTGTAGAATATACAATCTAAAGCATGATATGTGCAAAAGGTGCCATAGTGTTAAAATAAAAACGATTTGGAATTGGTTGTACCGTTCATTACATTCCAAAGTGACTAATGCTGATGTCAAAACCAGAATGTTAAGGTTTTGGGATCCAGCGGCCTTTGTGCTCCAAAGTACTCATTTGTGCTTCTGTATCTTCTATTGTCTTAAACGTTCTTGGTCACAGTGCAGTGTAGCAGTACCTCAGTCAGCAGTTCCAACAAGCCTTCTCTATGCAACATTTAGTGGCGAGTGCTCCTTCCCATTCTGCCCTCCTCTGGCCTTTCTGCACTTATACAGTGATAGAGACAGGATGATGATGATGATGATGACCACGAACACCACTGCTCCCACAATGAAGAACATTTCTGAAAAATAAAAAGAACCACATCAGTTTGGAGAGCTTCAATCCATTTACCAGTGGGTAGAACTGAGAGCATTACGCCAAGTTACACCAATCCTTTTTTTTTTTTTTTTTGCACCTCACTAAGATTAGCAAAGAATTTGTCAAATCTACATGTTTTTGAGGTTAAAAGTGTTAAATGGACCACTTGATAATGTTCACAGTCTAGAAAAGATACACGTAGTTGGAAGTAAGAACAGCTGTTGGAAACAAGTAGCTAAAAATGAAGCTGAGTTTGGTGGCATTGATTCCTGTAGATGATTCAGTCTCACAGAAGAGGGAGACTGAAGTGCTACCAGCCTGCAGGTGAACAGGAGAGGCAACTGGGTGATGTAGGTGGCCTTTGAAACACCTCCCAGGGGGCACATTTCAGCAGACAGAAGAGACAGGGGAAGCACAGACGTGGCTGTGCACAAAGGCAGAGGTGATAGAATTAGAGCAGGCTGTGGGTAGGATGGCCCAGAGGGGTTTGGTACCAAAGGGAAGGTGCCTTCTCTTGTCAACAGCAAAAATAGGAGAGAAACTTCACTCAAAAGTGGTTTTTACAATTTAAAACCTTATCTTATCAAGGAACTAGGTCACCATTATTGTCCTCTGACATTTGGGTCCCTGAAAATACTCAGAGCACTTCCCCTGGGCAGCCTAGAGAGAGAGAGACTCATAGGCTTTCCACCTCAGGCACCTGTCATATCTCCCAGAGCCACATATCTGGGCCCCAGCTATGTGCATGTGCACACATAGTGTGGTCCCTACTATGTGGCCCAACCTGGTACTCAGAAAGTCTATCAGGTATTGCTATAGTCGGTCCAGAAACCATTCCCTTAGGATCCAAAAGTCAGCAGAAAAAAAAAAAAAAAGAGAGAGCCCAAAGAAATCTATGACTTGATGCTAAATCCTAAACAAAATTTATGTACCTAGTGTTCCACAGAGTTTGGCATGTGGTACGTGTTCAGGGAAATACTTGCTAATACAAGGGAACCACACAGAATCACTTCTAAATGTCCCAAAGCCTGAGAGAACCTAAAACAAACCCTCAAACAGCCAAGGTAGTTACTCTCTGAATGTTCAACAAAAGAAGTCCATCTTGACCCCGAGGTGGGGGCGTCCAAGCCTCCTGGACAAATGGCAGGCAGGGCCACTCACCTTTGAAGACACTTTTCTCTTGGCTCGTACACTCGATAAGGCTTTCTGGACTCTTCTGGTTAGTAGTTCGATATGGGATCACAGCTTGAACACTGAAACAGTAGTCTGTTCCTTTATCCACATCAATCAAAAACTCATTAGTGTCTGTTTTGGCTGTTTTCTGTGAAAAGATGAAAGGGCTCTTAATTCCTCCAGGCTCAGAGTGAATTCTTTCCCTTTTATTAAGTCACTGTGGAAGTAAAAACCTGGGCTCTAAGCAAAGCCCATGTGGACAGAGCTGACATAGGAAGGATTAGAAGTGACTTGGCTAACCAGTAATCCCTGATAACTACTAAGGATGACTTTTCCAAGACTAAGAAGATCCAATTTAGGCATCCAATCCAATGTAGCCCCTTTGAAAACTATCTACAGGAAAAGAAAGAAGGAAGGTTTAATTATTGAATAGAAAGTAAATTTGGGGGCTGGGGATGTAGCTCAGGGGTAGTCCTTGCCTAGCATGTGTGAGGCCCTGGGTTTGATCTCTAGTCCAGGTTAAAATAAAAAAAGTACAGTAAATTTTGTTTCTGGGATCCTCAATAGAGGAAGAAATGTGACATGTAAGAGCTGATAGGACCCTTAGAGAAGATCTGGTCCAGTCCCTTGGCTGAGGATCCTAGGTTTCCAAGGTGGCTCTGCCTAAAGCGACAAATCAGCTCAGAATCACAGGTAGATCCAAGACCTGTTTTCCCTTCCCCTTCTACTTTACCCACTATCCTTTCAACCACTCCTGTTCTGCTGTGTTTGAATTGGGGAAGAAGTGGGCTATAAAAATCAAGGATCCACAATTTAAAACAAGACATAAAAGCAAGTGAAAAAGTCTCACCTTTCCTGTGCTTTCAGCTTTCCAATAATAAAGTATATAACTTAAGTCCTTGCCAAAGACATCCCGGAGGCTTAGGAATGTGTTATTCCTTCTGACTAATGTCCGTGCATCTTGTACTGTCACATTCAGTTTTGTCCCAACTTGTTCAAAACTCTGAATTGTTGGCTGTCCAAGTTTTGCTGAAATGTAGAAAATGATCTTGGTTGAGACCAAATAAGTCTATACAAAATAAACCTCATCTAGCTGTCACAGTTAACAGCTCTATTGTCTCATATAAAACACTCACAGAATCAACTCCACAGGCATCAGCCGGCGTGGTGGCCCCAGAGCTGAATGCTAAGACATTCCCTGGCAGTGCTGCCCCGTGGGAATACAAAGGGTGCCTCAGAGGAATTTTTAAATTTCCTTATAGTCAGTCACATTAGAAAAAGTAAAATGAAACAGGTGAAGTTAATTTTAGTAACAGATGTTAGCACACTATACTTCCACTATTATCATTTTAAGATGTAGTTGACACAAAAACTTGTGAAATATTTTACATTTTTACAAATTCAGTGTGTGTTTTATACTTCTGGCATTAGCCATATTTTAAGTGGTCATGGCTACCATACTGAAGAGTGTGCAGTTGTGAAAGTTCCCATAGTTTATGCACAAAAAGTTGGGGGGGACTGTGGGAAGGCCTCAGAAATGTCCTTGGTATGTAAAGGAATCTGTTTTAACCTCTAGGTCCTTGCAATGGCTCATTTTTCTCATGTGCTTTAGTTGAATAACAGTAAAACACATCCCATTTAACATCCATTTCCTGCAAGTCACAGGGCAAAGTATGTGTGTGTGCATGCAAAAAATATTTTCTGTTTTTTTTTTTTTTTTTTTTTTTGGTATGGGGATCCAACCCAAGGACACTTAACCACTGAGCCACACCTCCAGCCCGCTTTGTTTATGTTTTATTTAGAGATAGGATCTTGCTAAGTTGGTTAGGGCCTTGCTAAGTTGCTGAGGCTGGTTTTGAACTCCCAATCCTTCTATCTCAGTCTCCTGAGCCGCTGGGATTACAGGCACGTGCCATCACACCTGGCTAATATTTTCTATCTTGTACTCACAAAGACTTGAATTGGATTACCAAGACTCAACAACTATAGGAGGAAATTATGAAAATGTCATCAACTAAGGGATAGTGAGTACCAATGATCCTGTAGTTATGGGAGGGGGCTTGGCTTTATCTATGCTTTAGCCTAGTGCCACAGAGATGCACAGCTATGGCACTGAGTTTGGAGACAGAGTCTTGCCAATAGGGGCCCTGGAAGGTGGCCACATTCATCTGGGGTAATGAGACTGGCAAAGTGGATACAGAAGGAAAAGATTGGTTGATTGTCTCTCTAACCCTTCTTCTCACTATCCCTACCTGGAGCACCCTTCACCATCACAGGGTAGCCAGAGGGGTATATATGAAAACACCAATAATATACACTTTCATTCTAACCAGCAAGCTTTAAAAGAAAAGCTGATTTCACTCTTCTTAATATGGTACACATGTTTATTTAAAATGCCTAGCTCAGAACCATAGTTGTGATAAAAAATATTTGATTCTGCTACTTGGCAGGAATTCTCTGCATTCCCTCCTTAGATCCCAGGGTTGGCTTACTAGAGGAAGACAGACAGGCAAGCATCCCACATTTTCAAAATCAGCATGAGGGAGGCAGGGTGAGAGCCACCTCTAGTAAGTGCAAGATCAATGACACAGGCCAAGAGCTGGCATATCATGGGACTCAAGTTCAAACGATTGAAATAGGTCAGCACAGGCTCAAAGGGAAACTGTGGTTTCTTCATGAATTAGTGACCATTTGGGGAATTTCCTAAACTGGGATTTCTGGTCTGATGATAGGACAGATGGGGTGTGATATGTATGGTGGGGAAAGCTGAAAGTCACCCACGGCCACATATGTTCAGCTGGTTGCTTGTAGGTCAAGTGGGAAGGATATCTAGACAGTCAGAACAAGAAGAATAAATGTATTACAAACTGAGCTACTTACTTTCCAGGTAAGGTATAAACTTGGGGGCATTTTGAAGGACAGGGTCCCTGGCAGAACCAGTGGTATCTAAGTCCCGTGGCAGGAGGGAAAGGACCCTTGCAGAATATGTCTGCTGCACATCCTGCACAATCTCATCAGTGAGGTCACATTCTGTGTCTGTCGTGTAGAAGCATTTGCCCTTCCAATCCCCTGTTCCAGCACTAGAGGAAGGAAGGAAGAAAAAGAAATGGAATGTAACAAGCTGCATACAACAAGACAGCTGGCTTTCACTGTGGCGTTCTGTGCTAATGACAAGAGCATCCATAACCAGTCCTTCAGAGGCTTATGAGTGCCTGCAGCACCCCGAGTGGCTGACTTTACAGAGAAGGCAACTGAGAGAGGGAGACTGGGTGACTTGCTCAGAACCACACCTGCACTTGGAACCACTCAGCTATTTGCCTCCTGAGTCTGTGTTCTGAACCATGTTGTTAAATATCTCTTAAAGTGGACATGCTCTGTTGTAGTTACTTGGGAGAAAGTTTTGGAAGATTTCCACTCAACTTTTCATTATAGTCTACTTTCTATACATTACATTCTGTTAATTACATCATATTCTACATTCTATGTAGAACATAGTCTGTAAGGTAATAATTCATCTATTAATATATTCTGTATCATTCTATTCTATTACCATCATTATTTGTGTGGTTAATAATCATTTATTGGGACGGGATTGTAGCTCAGTGGTAGAGGGCTTGACTACCATGCGTGAGGCACTGGGTTAGACCCCCCGCACCGTGTCCTGTCTGGAAAAAAAAAAAAAAAATAATTATATATATATATATATATATATATATAATCATTTATTGACTCTGCTGTATGCCCAATATTATACTGGGCCTTTTACACATGTTACTTCATTTGATCTACTCCTTCTAAGAAAGTACTGGATTTTTTTTTTTTTAACATATGGGAACATGGAAGATTAGAGACACTAATTTTCCAAAGTCACATGGCTAAAGAGTGGCAGAGCCATGTTGGGTCTGTTGATCTCATTATACTATATGCTAGATGTAAATACAAGATGTGAACACATCTTATCAAAAATTACAAGACAACAATACAGTTAGTATCTACCTAGTAAAGTCTTAAGACTACGAGGCTAAAAGATCTTTCTTTGTAAGATACCATTGAAGGGGAAATGATTTAAAGAACTTACTAAAAATGAAATTCTTCTAAAGGACCCAAACAATCACAGGTTAACAATCACTGCATCCTGATCCACACATTCCCATCCCAGGTGAAGCGACAGAAGTCACTGCTCTGCCCTTTATTCTGCCAGAGTCTGACCCATTATTTGAGGGCAAGCTCCTAATCCCCTTCCTCCAGGAATCTCCAAATTGAACACTGTGCTCAGCATCAATCTCTCCCTTCCTTGTCCCCTGGCACCATACTGCCACTCATGCACTTAATATGGCACCGTCTCTTTGTACTTGGCTCTTGTGTTCTTTCCCAAGCTGCAGGGCTTGGGGGCTTTTCTGTGAATAGCATGGTCTACCTTTACAGGTTGAATTAATAAATCATTAGGGGCATATGGATTCAACTGTCTAAATCCATGCATAAGAGCCATAAATGTGTATTCTTTAAAACTTGGAATTAAATGACCAATTCTAAAAGAATTCGGGTGAGCACATTTTTTTTAATCTTAAAATTCACAAACTAAGGTTGATACAGGAATGTTTTTTATTTTTAAAAATTTTCTGTGATAAGCATAGGCTATTTGTTTCAGAATGACCCAAATGAATTTTCATCCTCTTTGGAAGAGTGCATGGGAATATGGTGATTCCTCTCCACTGCTAAGGCAAACAAGCCATTCAGCTAGCTGAACTCTGCAGTGACATACTGTCTGAGAGACGCAGTGTTTAGTTGCTCCCAACTCATAAGCAGGGACCATATGCTCTTTGGCAAAATTTAGCACAAAGGCCTATATCACAGTAAGTAGTGAAATCCTGTCAATGTGTAATGAAGGGGCAGTTCTCTAGAAGGGGCCTCTGAATACCATAAACAGCATTAGCACCTTAAGAGCCTTTGAGGTTCCTCTAGGTATTGCACAATCCCCAGATGTGGAAATAACCAAAGCCCCTCCTGAATTAATACAAATTCCAACAGAATACAGGCCATCACTGAGTTGCAGGTTGTTTTCAGGAAGTTTTTAAACTCAGTTTTAGTATTCAGAACATCCCCATGGAATCAGTATTACAGGAGATGGTCTGGTGCAGAGCCCTGAGCCAGTGACAATTCCCACCCACCACTGAAACCTGCTTCTAAAGGGGAAAATGCAGCTGGAGCTCTGCATAGGGACTTTAGGGGGACAGTGCTGCCCTTCGATAGAGCCAGACTTCAGGGTGAGGGCAGTGGGCATGGAAGGGTAGCTAAAGTTAAGATGTTTCCTAAAGGGAGGAAAATGGGAGGGAAGGGAAGCCCACCAAGGAGATATGCTGGGCCAGGCCTTCCCTCTTCCTCCTAGTTTTGTGGCCACACTTAAGACTGGAAGAGGCCCCAGTCCAGGGTCTCAGGAAACTGGAACTCCAGGCCCAAGAGGGCATCCCACCCACCAGCACAGGCATCACAGATCCTTCACCTTTCAGAGTAACAGTATTCTGATCTGGACTATAACTGCTGTGATCCTCTCAGCCTAGGAATCCAGTTTGCTCGTGGGGAGGTGAAAGAAGCACTCAGATCTGAGGCTGTGGCTGATGGAAATGCTCCGAGGCCCTCCAGCATGGGGGAGATAGACCATGAGGAGATAGACCTGCTGGCAGGGCCAACTTCTCCATACCTGAGGTCTGATGTAGGCAGGTCAGGGGTCATGCTCATTTAAATAATGGCAGCTTTTAAAAGTCCAAGAACTTAAGAGTTGACAAAGGCTAATGTTTCAAATTCAAGTAAATCATAAATATGTTTTCACATGTTGCTCAAATATAAGACAGAATATATTTAGCATTCTTCCCAAAATGTAATTTTTGTCATCCAGAAGAAAAGAGTTTACTAAGGTCTACTTAAGGTCTGTATCAAAGAAAGTAGAAGCTGATTTGACAAGTCTGACTATAAACTTGGGTTACAAAATTGCTCTCTCTCTCTATGTATGGAGCACATAGATACATGCATTCATGCATGAATGCAAATTATCTTCCCTAATGATTTGGCAATAGTTGTCATAGAGTTCATTTTGAAAAACAACAATGTCCACCTAAAAGACCCACCCTGTTCCTAGGAGCTGCATCTTAATGCTATAAAAGTCTGACACAAGTCGACAAAATAACAAAACTGTAAAACACTTTTAATTTTTGCCAGTGATACATTTGTTTCTTTATACAAATAGTGTTAAAAATAATTTCCATAGCAGCTGTCCTCTATTTCTTAAAATCTCTACCAAGCCTCCCATGACATTTTAGCAAAAGCTTGCCCAGGATATGGTGAAAACCATCAAGGAAAACATGTGGCACACCCTAGACATTTAAATCAAATATGCTTAGACTGGCTCCTGGGGAGAGCTGTCAATTAGAGATGAGGCTTGAATGAGCCAAGGAGCCCCAGACAGCTGAAGGTGTAGACAATGAAGTCCTTTAGCAGTATTTCTGTGCGGCTCAGTGAGTCAGGAATTTGGCTTCCTTTGAGATCATGTATGCAACCAAATTTCGATTCAGAGTCCAAAGATTAATGAATCAACCACTGCTTAAGGGCAATGTATACATTGGAATTGGAATTCCTCCCCACCTTTTCCCTAACAAGTTGGATGAAGCTTAGTCTAGACAGCAAAGCAAAAAGACATCTATGTTTAGATGAGATTAGTTATCACTGATATTAAAGCACAGGATCAGCACCTGCTCAGGATGGTTCACCTCTCTACAGTTTATACTCTGCTTATGAATTTTCTCATCATTTCCAAAAACAATGAAAACATTATATAAGTTTAAGGTCCAGAAATGTTGAGGCTTGAAAGAGCATGACACTGGCCAGCAAATTATCATGTATGCCCTCTTTTTTGTCATCCCTAAATAACCTCATCCAGTCTAAAGTCAGCATTTATATTCAGAGCAGAAACATCAAAAATCTTAATTCTCTCTCTTTTGGACCTAACTTACCTTATCTGAACAGTGTAGACATAATTGACGGGTTTGGGTTCCCACTCCAAAATTGTCTTGAAATTAGTTGATTTCCAAGTTAAATTATATGCTCTAACTGGAGTGCCTTCAAACAACAGAGAATGAGCTATTATTACACGTACCTCTCAGTCCGTAACTTTGTGCTAACAGTATAAAACATCTTCTCAGCCTCCCATCACCATAAACTTTACATTTTTGTTTCAACTGCAAAAGTTTTGCTATTGAATTATTAAGAGGGGAGAAAAAACACTTTTCAAATTTTCTCTAGACCCAGAATTTCCTCTTGGCAAGATCCACCTTTCTATATTTATTTATTTATTTATTTTTTAGTTTTTTCGGCGGACACAACATCTTTGTTTGTATGTGGTGCTGAGGATCGAACCCGGGCCGCACGCATGCCAGGTGAGCGCGCTACCGCTTGAGCCTCATCCCCAGCCCTAGGCTGTAAACTTCTAAGATCCACCTTTCTATGGAAACAGGCAAGGATCTTGAATTCCTCATTTGGAATTATTCAGAAAGCCCTGTCATAACTTGACCTGGAAGCACAGCCCAGGAGCCACGGAGAAATGCACAACTCAGGGTCAACTCACCACAGAAGGATAGCTAGGAAGAATTTTCAGTGAGTTAGGAAAAGGGTAGATCCCACATGTGTAAGAGTTAGGAATGCATACAAATGAAAAAAAGTCAAACTTGACCTTTTCCATTTTATCCAAAACGTCTCTAACCTGAAACTTTCACTGAGATCAAGATGGACATGGTGGCCGGTCTGTTGGATGTATTCTATTAGGATGCTTTATTAAGGTCTTCTCTGCTGATACTCTAAAGGAGGAAATCTCTGCCCAGCCCCAACAGGCATGGGATAGGCACACTGTCATGCCTAATCCAATCCTAGCGACACTGTACTGATTGCTTCTATCCAATTTTAAAACAAAGACCACATAAGAAAGACCAGGGGTGCTCTTTATTAAGGGAAGATGAACACACGTTGAAAGATAATATTTAAATCATTCTTTGCGTGTCAACCTGTGCGGATACGGACCACGTCTCAACACAGTCAAGGTCGCAACTCATTAGGAAGCTTTTTACTCAAAATTAAAGCGGGATCCCAAAATCCGCTTATACAAATAATGGACACACCAAGCTAAGCATCTCTAATGTAAGGCGAAACGGGTCTGGGACACTTAAAATCATTTCGCAACTCTCGCCCGTGCGCCTCGAGGCACGGGTTCATTCAAACCTGGCGAGGTGAGCCCTGCGGAGCTCCGCGGGAGTCGAGGTGGGAGGCACCCTGCGGCGCCGCGGGAACCCAGGCAGCGCGCTCCCAGGACCGACCCTTCTCTCCCGCGGGTGGCGCGCCTCCCGCTTCCTTGAATGGATGCCACTCACCTGTAGCACCCGCCACCTGGGCAAGGACCCAGCCGAGCAGAAGCGTCCGTGTGAACAATGTCTCTAGGCGCGGGAGCCTGAGCCAGGCAGGGCTCGCCATGTCCTCCAGCGGGCTGCGAGGTCGGGAGGACTCCAAGGCGCCTCGGAGGCTGGAGAGGCTGGGCTGCAGGCGCTGTGGGGTGAACAGAAGGAGCAAAGGGGGTACGGGGCACACTGAGTCTGCCCCAGCTCGTGAGGGGTGCTCTATAAAGAGGCGCGCGGCCCGGGCTCCCCGCCCCCGCCGCTCTTTCCCTACTCCCCGCCCCGCGCCCAGGTCACTGGCCGCCGCGGTGGGCGGCCCCTGGCGAATCCACACCCCTGCCCCGCCTTCTCCCCGTAGGAAACTCCGGGACCCTGCAAGGAATGACTCACCCGTGATTCAATTGCGCCGGCGAGCGCCAAAATGCCTTTTGGCGGAGGCGGGTCCAGGTGCTGAGAGAACCCGGGCTCCGGGGCCCCCGTCTCCCAGTCTTCGGTCCGGGTGGCCCGCAGGTCTATGGGGGGTGGGGAAAGGCGCGTTGGAAAACAGTTCTTGAGTTAGAGGGAAGGGATTCTTGCCTTCCATTTGGCGATCGTGTCGTCTGTGCTGGTGGGAGCGGAAGCGTTTGCAACATTTCGTAGAAAGTAAGGGGTCAGGACTCAGCTAGGGTAGAGAGGGCATTTCCCGCGACCTTGCGCATGCGGGACTGAGGCTTTGCTCGTGCTGCAAAGTAACTGCGCGGTGGTGAGCAAGTCCCTTTCCCAGCGACGGTCTCCTCGTTTTCCTGAGGAGCAAGGACCTCTGGCCTGCCTGGCAAACAGGTCTTTTAGGATCGCATTATATAAGGGTGATGAAAATGCACATGTTTGCTGTGGATATAAACGGCCCTCAGCCCACAGGTCCGAAGGCCAGTTGTCCCAGACGCCAGGGAGTCCAACTCGGATAGTGAATGAGGACGAGCAGCCTCAAATCTGGCAGTTTGCCTCTGGGAGAATTTCAGTGTGACATCTGCAGCCCTGTGGTTCCAGAAAAGATGGTTCTCACGTTGAAGAAGACATCTGTGGGATTGAGTGAGTTCCTTCCAAGTGTAGGGAAACCAAAAATGAAATTGAAAATATGATCCGACTTTCAGACTACTTGTTTTCCCCCACCCCCACCCGCTTTTGTTTGTTTGTTGTTTGAACCCAGGGCCTTGCACAAACTAAACTCACACTCTGTCGCTGAGTCCTGTGCCACTAATTTTTTTTTTAAACATCAGAAATTTATTAGTTGCTCAAAACATTACATTGATCTTGACATATCATATATCATACATTTGTTTCAAATGGGGTATTAATTCTTATTATTCCCTCGTGTACAGATTGCAGGATCACATTGGTTATACAGCCACGTTTATACATACTGCCATACTAGTGTCTGTTGTATTCTGCTGCCCTTCCTATCCCCTTCCTATCCACCCCCCCCCTCCCCCCCCCATTTTTTTTTTTTTTTCTGAATAATTTTCCTGTTTCCTCTTCTGGGCTTTGCTGTGAAGTTATCAGGCATAAGAATGTTAACTATTATCCTTTTCGTGTGGCATCATACACCATCTCCCATCACTCCTTTATTTTTACTTTGTAGTTGCCTACAGATAGTATTGGAGATTCTTGGAGAGTGGAGTTTGTGAAGTCAGCGTTGCCTTTTAGTATACACATTTCCATATAAATCTGCTGAGGCATAGTATTAAAAATTCATTTTGAACCAAGTAAACCTTGCAAAATTGTAATTTTCTCCCCTTGCCTGAGTGGAGGGAACACATGCAGGCTTAGCATTTGCAGTCCTTCCTAGAAGCGGAGAACTGTGCTTACTGGTTTCCTCTTTGAGCTCTCCTCCAGCTCTAAAACCCACAAAATTTATATTTGCAAAACTAAGCCTGCAATACTCCTTTTTGCAGTCTCTGGCCAGAGTCATTTTCCCTACTGGGATCTTCAGCCTCACCTGGGATGGATTCTTTGCTCTCTAGAGTTAAAGGTCAAAAAAATTGTTACACTTCAACCAATTTTTCCAAGACCCAAGAAACTGTTCCTCCCTGTGCAGAGAAATTCCATTTGGAGTTACTGAATGTCCAGAAATCATACGAAAGAATTTTAAGCAATGTCAAGATCAACCATTTGATAATAAAAATATGTGACACAAAGTGCCATAAATATTGATGAATTAGATGAATATTTGTTTGCATATCCATTGTCAGGCAGGGAAGAGAAGAATACTCAGGGTGTTTGGATAGATTTTTGAGTAAATATGAAATATGGTTCTTTGCTGAAATTACTACTATTTTCAAGAAGAGGAGGAAGAAAACTGGTCATAGTAAGTCACATTTCAAAGCAAGGTTTTTCTCAAGTTGGTGAGATTGTGGCCAGTGATTTCTAGAACAACTGTTGTCTGGCACTATTAAAAGTACATTTCTACCTGGGCATGGTGGTGCACACCTCCAAATCCAGCTATTGGGGAGATTTAGGCAGAAAGATCTCAAGTTCAGGGGCATCCTGGGCAACTTGGAGAGACTGTCTCAAAATTAAAAATAAAAGGGACTGGGGGTGTAGCTCAATGACCCTGGGCTTAATTCTCCAGTACTACAAAAGCAAACAAAAACCAAATGAAAGCACATTCCTGAAATTTCACTATTGATATTTACTACACAGGAACAAATTTCTTGTTCTACTTACTCCCTACCTTTACACAATTTTTTAAATTCCCTTCAGTAAAAGCAAGCTTTGATACATCTTGAAGGCTCTGAAAAGTGCCTTAAGTTACTAAGCTGTCATGACAATCATGCTGGCCTGGCCAGTCCTTTCTGATTAAATCTTAGAATGTAGAGGGGTGGAGAGGATCTCACAAACATTCTTTTCAAGATCCTGAGACTTGCTGACCTGAATGAACTTGCTTCTTAACAGAGCAACACAGATCTGATCTTCCCACTCTAGGGGCTTTCCTTCTATTATCATGCTTTCTTCTACTCCCACTGCATGCAAGTAAGATTGGATCACAAACTCCATTGACTGCATGATTGATTTATCCACCCATAGGTACTCAACAATGTTCTGCAGGTGGTGTGGAAAACACTTGCAGTGAAGCCAGGCACAGTGGCACTTGCCTGTAATCCCAGCTACTCAGGAGGCTGAGGCAGGAGGACTGAAAGTTAAAAGACAGCACTTAGTAGCTCCATGAGGCCCTCAGCAACTTAATGAGACCCTGTCTCAAATTTTAAAAATAAATAAATAAATAAATAAAAAGGGCTGGGGATGTAGTTCAGTGGTAAAGCGCCTCTTCCCCTGAGTTCAAACTCTGGTACCAAAACAAACAAACAAACCCCCAAAACAAAAAACTGAAGAAAGAAAGAAAACACTTTGCAATTTTGGGAACTTGTTCTTAGCAGAAATATCCTGTCAGCTATTCCTTAACATACATGCACATAGAAGGTTATAGTTCCCTTTGCATAACCAGTGATTAAATGTGGCAAAAATGTCTAGGGTGCTGTTTCAACCCTTCTTCTGTATTTTTATAATACTTGCTACTGATTTTACCAACTCATATTCATCAACTACTTTTCTTGATTTCAATTGTGCATTTGCTTGTCAGTCTTTCCCATTCTTATTCCTTGGGGAAATAAGAACTGGGATTTTTCTTTACATTGCCCAATCCTTTGCACAATTTTAAACACATAGTAGGTGATTTTTTTCAACCAATGAAAGAAGGCTTTATGGAACCATGCATGCAGCCAAATATTTTCATTGGAATTCAAGAGACTAAATCTGTTACTGAACTTTTTCTGTTTAGGGACCAGACGGTGAGCAGTCCATAATGTTCAGATTGCTAAGAAAATGCAAATCCAAGAAAGGCAGCATTTGACAGCAAACTCTGTCTGAGCAGTGATTGACAATCCTTCCTGTGACCAGTAAATCTAATCAGGAGGACTGTAGTTGAGAGCAGAAACAAATGCAAAGTTTGGGAACTGGTTACATTTTTAAAAAAGCTTTCCTTCTAGCGTGATTCAGAATATACTCAGTCATCCCCTATGTGATGATGCTGTTGCTGTTGATAACTTTCCTTGCCTACAGAGGCTTCTTGGAATAAATTCCTCAAAATGTCTGTGTCCCCAAGAAAGGGATGGATTAAGATTTATGCAAGTGGGCAAACTTGAGAGTAATCTTTAAAAAACCTATTTTATATATATGGAATTGCAAAACGAGCAATGAAATTATTTCCCCCCAAATTCAGGTAAAAGGCAAAGTATGAAAAAAGGCCAGAGGGAATTAGGATTTAGTGGGAACATAGAGTTCTGGAAAAAAAAAAAAGTGACTCAGCAGAACCTAACAAACATCTGGCAGGGCATAGTTAGTCATGGAAAAATTGGCAGTCATGATTATGCATTTTGTGAAAATAATTATGTACTGGTCTAACCGTTTACATTTAGACCAAAATTAAATAGTTGAAAGTCTGTACAATAAAAACAATTATCCTGATTATCCAAAGTCTCTGCTAGACCTTCGATGAGTAAAACTGAAAAGTCCTTTTCTTATTAACTATATCATCATTGCTTTTGCCAATATTTTAATGATTTTCTATCAGCATTTGCTTTGGATATAAAGCAATCTTATCAATGTTGTTTATTAGTAAATTTTGTTCCATGCCCCTACCCAAACAAAAAGATGTAGGTATATTATAGTCAGTCAATCAAACAGGTATCTTTAACTCAGCAAACTGAAACACAAGTACTTCATCAGTTTGAATGTATTAATGACTCTAAGTTTTGCATATGCTCAACACTACTAACTCTAGGCTGGGGGTTGTAGCTCAATGATAGGCATGTGGGTTGGATTCTCAGCACCACATATAAATAAATGAATTAAATAAAGGTCTATCAACAACTAAAAAAAAATTTTTTTTAAAGATACAACTCTATAAAAGTCTGGAAGAAAAATAAGCAGGTATGAGATTTCTCAGGTCATGAAAATATTATTTAAAGTTTAAAAGTAGGTGTGAAGGCAGTTTTATTGTAATTTACATGTATACTTGTTGATGTTTTATAAAATAGCCTAGTG